TTTAATAAAAAAAAAAATTAAAAAAAAAAAAAATAAAAAAAAAAATAAAAATTAAAAAAAATAAAAAAAAAAAAAATAAAAAAAAATAAAAAAAATTTAAATTTATTAAAATATTTTTTTTTATTAAATATATCTATAGACTTCGATATAGATAGATAATCTTTCTCTAAATTTATCTCTCTATTATCGTTTAATATTAATTATAATTTCTCTATAATTATAATATTTTTCTTCTTTCTAGAGGCCTTCTTATCTTTTACTCTTATATTATATTTATAGCGTAAAACTTAGACGTTAATATAGAGGAATTAAAGCTTATTTATTCGCTTAGAGAGAGTATAATTCCGAGCCTTATTATATAGAAGGTTTTAAATAAAAAATACTCGCTCTAAAGTAATTAAATTAGCTAAAATTTTAAATAGTTTTAAGATTAAAGTAGCGAGTTTTAAAGCTATCGTTTAAATACGTAATTAGAAGAGAATATAATAACTTTTATTCTTTTAATATAATTTACAGTTAGTACTAAAACCTTTATTCGATACTTAAATATAATAAAGATTAAGATCTTATAATTTTACTTATTATTATTTAGTCTCTAGTACTAGGAAAATAAAAATCTATTAAGAAAGTTAAGTTTTTAACTAAGTTTTATTCGCTAATTAGGATTTAACTTTTAAAGTAAATGTTTAGAATTTTTAATTTTTACTATATCTTACGATATCGAAATTAAAATCTTTTAAAATTCTTAATATTAGTTATTTAGTATTATGCGAAAAGATTATAAAAATTTTAGATTATAAAGAGTAGTGGTTATAAAGATATTTAAGAAATTTCAATTTTGTGATTTTCGAGGGAGTGGGGTGCTTCATGAAAACTTTTTTTATTTTTTAATAATTAAAAATATAGAATTAAGATTAAAGTAGCGAGTTTTAAAGCTATCGTTTAAATACGTAATTAGAAGAGAATATAATAACTTTTATTCTTTTAATATAATGCGTTAGTAGTAAAGATCTCTATTCGATACTTAAATTAATAGAAGATCTTACGAACTTGTTATTATTTAGTCTTAATACTAGAAATATAAATATTAAAAAAGTTAAGAACGTAATTTTATTCGCTATTAGATAGTTCTTTATTAATATAAATTAAATTTAAATAAAATATCGCGTAATAGATTAATAGTATTTATTTTTTAAATTAAGTATACTAGATTACTTTTAATTATTCTCCTTTAATATTTTAATAAGACTTAAAGATATATTATATATAAGAAGCTTATTAAAAGAAAGAATAATTATAAAGATAACGAAGATAAGATTTAATAATTCTTTATCTCTTTAATATATAGTTTAAATATATATATTCTAATTCTAATATAATCTATTACTTATATATAATATTAAAGATCTCTTTTAAATTCTTTAACTTAGCTTAAAATATAGGATTCTTTAATAGTCTATTAATACTTTAGGCCTTTACTATTAATTTATTTATACGATTATTAAGTGTATAATAATATAAGACTACTTTACTTCGTAGAAGAGAGTTAATTAGATAATATTAAGTATCTTATTATATAATATATAAGAGTATAAAGGCGTAGACTCGTTTATCGAAGTTTTCTTTTCTTATATAGTTACGAAGTATAACTAGCATTTTATTAGTCTTTTAGAAATAGACTACGATAGACTAAGCGGATTTAAAGACTCTATCGAACTATTTTAATTTCGAAACGTAATATATAAGTAGCTGAATACTATAACTATTATATAAAATAAATAAATAGTATTTTCAACTAGATATCTTTCGTAATTCGATCTATATAATACGTATTTTTACCTCGATATTTATAGTTAATAAATTAACGCGTATAATATAACCTTCGATTTAAAATAATACTCTTTTATAAATATACTTAGCTAATTTTAGATCGCTATAACGTAGAGCTAATATATTAATAGACTTTAGATAAAGAGCTTTTATTTCGATTTATATCGAAAGATTAGTTATACGATTATAATTAATATTAAAAGAGTCGTTAGTAACGAAATTTAGATAGTTATTATCGTTAAGATACTATACTATTAGCTTCTTAAGATCCTCGTATACGTGATTTAAAAGCTCCTCTAAAAAGGCCTTTCTGCTAGAAAGTTTATAGACCGAATTTAATCGTATAATAAAGGCTCTTAAATAGTACTCGTTATATATATTTAATAGTTTTTCTTTAATATAGATAGCTAATATAACTAGCTTATAAAGTCTTTAAGTTTCTTCGAGAAATAGCTTACTATAATCGGTGATTTTAAATTATTTATTTTACTTTCCAAAAAAGGATATATAGATTTCCTTCTCTTTTTAAGCGAGATTATTATTTTACCGCTACTTAATAATAATATAAGAGTTATTATTAATAGAGTTCTCGAGATAGAGACGATAGAACTTTAAGTACTTCTTTATACGTATGCTATTAACGATAAGATTCGAATATTTAATATAAAATTTATAGTTAATAAGTATAGCCGAAGCCTCTAAAGAAGAATAAGACTCGATAAAGATATTCTAGACCGTCTAGTTTCTTATATTACTTAGTTACCACTTCCCCGGACGCCAAACTAGCAACCTCACTGACCAACAGACTCGTACTCGAATTCCCAACAATATATGTATTGCGCAGCCAATGTAGATGGCACATTGCCTGAGGGATTGGTGGAGTGAAGGGGATTTCTTTGCTTCGGCGAAGAAGGAGTTGATCGAAGAAGTAGCAGGCAGCCCGTGGGTGGGTTTGATGGGAACTTTGGAGAGAAGGCACATGATCTAGAGGATGGCGAGGTGGATCAGGTCGTCTGAAGTCTTGGGGAAGGATTTGAAAGGGATCGCGGGCTGTGTAATGCTGGACGACCCAACCCTCTCATGCTGTTGTCAGCTTCATTTACTGATACGTCAAAGTTTATGACCTTTGAGTATTCAGAATACGAACGATTTGAATCTGAGTCTATTATATACCTTTTTGCCTGTGCCGTTCCCCGACATTCTTTCTCGGGACTCACCTCCTCGCTTGGGTGCACCGACTTCATTCTCGTAGACAGCCTGTTGTCCCTATGCCCAGCTCCTCAACCCTATCCTCAGCGCCATGTCGCCATTCCTCCACGGCCTCCGACGCTCAACCCCACCCCTCAAACCGCCTTCTCCAGCTCGAAGAGAATCCCTCCATATCATCACCCTTACGCCAACTTCCCAGGCACAACGGGATGACCGGCACTCAACCCGCCATCCACCGCCCACCCCTGCCCATTAACATAACTCGCCTCGTCACTGCCCAGAAACAGCGCCACCCTGGCCACCTCATCCGCAACCGCTCCCCTCCTCAACGGATTCAACTGTCCCACCTTGCCCTCCGTCCCTCTCGCTCTCGCCATCGTGAACAGCGGCGCCGTCATGCCCGTCTCGATCAACCCCGGCATAATCGCGTTGACTCGGATCCCCGTCCCGCTCAGCTGATACGCCGTCGTCTGCACCAAGCTCCTGACCGCAGCCTTGAGGCCGAATAGTCCGTCGAGCCGGCATTGCTCCTCAACCCGGCCACCGAACTCGTGGCGATGATACTCCCGCACGGGAACTTCTTCGTACCCCCTCCCCCTCCCCCTCCTCCGACGTAGTCGTCCGCATCATAGCCGCCGCGGCGTACTTGATCGCCACGAACACGCTCAGCACATTCGTCCGCATCGTCTTCATGAACTCCTCCCCTCCCACTTCGCCAAAATGCTTGTTCGTCCCGACGACGCCCGCGTTCGCGAAGTATATGTCCAGCCGTCCGTATCGAGAGAGGCATTCGTCCACGACGGCTGCTACGGCGGCTTCGTCCCCGGCGTCGAATTGCCGCGCGTGCACTTCGACCGCCGGATACAGCGATTGTAGTTCTCGGACGTGCACGGAGAGGTGTTGGTCGCTGAAATCGCATATGTAGATGGCGCGGGCCCCATTGTGGGCGAATTGGTGGGCGGAGGCGCGGCCGATGCCGAGGGGGGAGTTGGTGCCGGTTATGATAACGACTTTGTCCTTCACTCTCCTGCCCATCCACGTCTAGATCAGCTTTTGTCCCTCAATCATCAATTGGCGAGGAGGAAGGGCAGGGGCCATACGCTCCGGCAGAGTCTCCCGCTATGCGGCGTATTCTGGGTATGTCCTCGAATGTGCCAGGGTCGGCGGGCTTGACGACGAGCTGTTCGCTAAGGGCTTGGAGACGAGTTTTGGAGACTGATGTCATGCTGGGGTTCTTGAGGGCGTTGAGGAGCTGTTGGTCCTCGTCGGACGACATTTCAGTCGATGCGGGGAGGGTGGAGAGTTGCGGGGATGTTGGACCGAGGCAGAAGGGGAACCCCTGAGTGCCAAGGCGCTAGGGAATCTACGGCCAGGCAAGCCGTTAACTCAGGAAAAGTGGCAGTCGAACAATGTACCAAATATCGACCGACGCCAGGAATCGACGTGAGAACGCCCCACAGTGACCCTTGATGGGACAGTCCTAGAAAAGGTGGCAGACGAACCAGGGACAACTCCTCAAACTTCAACAACATCAGCCAAAGAGTTTCTAAGCCATTCAACGCCCTTCCTAAGGCCATTTCTGACCATGAAGAACAAATGCTCTTGGTTCGATGCCCAAAACCAACACGAGAAGGCAAAGTTCTTGGTGCCCTCGACCGCAACTTATCTGGACAGCTTGCCTAAGCTGCCTTTCGGTTCCAGAGGGAAAAAATGAGAAGTTGTCGAAGTAAAGAACTTTCGGTAGGATCTTCAATCATTCGTCCCATACATAGAAGAGAGCCAAGCTTCTCCGACGCGGAGGTCAGAAAGTTACAAAGTTGCTGCAACTTGGTGACTGCTCGTTTCAATGTGTTGCCATGTCAATATAATGGCATCATTTCTGCACACCAATTTGCTCAATTGATCGCTGTATGCCGTGGGTATCATTGTAGCCAATAGAAAAGAAAGGGACGAATGATTCATCACTTGATCATTTCCTCCCCTTCGAAAAAAGGCCTCGGCTCCTGGAAACTCAGCTGTCCTCCACTGGTCCCACTGCTGACCGCCTCACTAGCACCACTGCTTCCCCTCGTCCTCCCCTTCTCCCTATCCCTCTCCTCTTCCACAGCCTTATATCGCCTCTCCTCTACTTCACTCCTCTGGACTACCTTCTTCAACGCCTCACTAGCTCCAATAAGCCCATCGATACTGATCGCATGATCTGTCATCTCGTTACCAATGTAGCCGTAGACTCTGGCGGCGCTGTCGCATTCTAGTAGCTGGGGTTCATTCAACTTGAGCAAGGCTAGAGCAATTTGGAAGAGAAAGGTGCTGCCGTCATTGAAGCAAAAGATGACATCCCAGACACGGAAAAGCGCTTCGGCGGAGAGACAGTCAGTGAAGACTGAGAGGAACCATTGGAAGGTTAGCGCTTCCAGTTCGATTCCTAATTCATCCAAATGTGCAGAGAGCTTGGGTAGGACTGCAGCAACGTATTGGCGCAGGACTTGCTGGTCTGCGCGGGAGGCTAGGAGTGAATGATCGTAGTAGTGTTGGGGAAGAACATTCTCAATGATCGTTGTGAGCAACCAAAAAGCGTCTTCGGCGGTCGGCATGACAAGCAGCAGGGAGGCGGTAATCAGATTCATACCTTGGCAGTAGCCGACCTGCGGGTTGCGCCGGGAGTAGGCAAGGAGGACTTCGTTGAGCTTGGTGACACCGGGACCTTTGCGGAAGAATACGTTATCGGTTAGGAGTGCGGTGGATGTCCATTTGGATTTGGGAGACAATGACAGGGTCGTCAGTCTCGCTTGCGACGAGATCGTCATAGTGGCCAGGGACACGGAGAGCTGTGGCACCGCTGCATTCGGCCCAAATCTTTGAGCGGTACGCGACTGGGATACCGGCCAGAACGAGCTGTCTGAATTCCTTCCATTTGGCACGTCCGACTTTGCCCTTGTTTCCTAGGCCTGCGACTCCGATCAATTCACCATCTGTAAGGAGCATTTCTGGCATAATTGCTTGTTTGAAACGAGAATCGGAGACTGTTGCTGACTCTCCTTCCTTTTTTCGCTCAGCCCGGACCTTCCGTAAGAATCCATTCCATTTCACAGTCCTCTCGCGCTGCAGACTGTCATGGAGCTCTGTGAGCTGCGCCAGTAGGAGCTTGACAGGTTCACCTTCGGAGGAGGTAGACGTGGCTAAGGCATTCGAAGATTCGAGGAGTATCTTGGACATTTCGGCGTTTCCTGCCGTGACAGGTGACATCTCTGGTTCCGGGTTGAGGCTCGTGGACGGTAACGAGCCTCGCGCATCGCCAAGAGTTGGCGACCGTTTCAGAGTACCAGGGCTGTCGGCGCTTATGACCTTTGTGGCGGGCTTTGCTGATGGAGTATGAGAAAGCAGCTCGGTTGGGAACGTCGCAACTTTGAGATAATCCTGCCAACGCTTGGTTGGCTTCTCATCCGTCTTATCATCTACGGACGCTGGAGTGTCTGGTCGCTGCACAGAGTTGGCCTTTGACCTTTGAGACATTTGATCGGGGTCTTTATTCTTCAGAGATTCCAAAGTGCCGCTGAGTAGCTCCACGTTCGCGCTAGCATTCGATTTCCCTCTAGCGTGAGTACGGGTAGACTCCGCCTCTCTCTTCCTACGACGCTGGTCGTAGATGAACCCGAACCTGTCGGTAAGAAGGTCCGCGGTGTCTTTGTAGTTGTTGAATTGTGTTAGCGTGGGAGGCTTTGAGTCGGGCGGGTGGATAGTGTCCATTTCGACAGGACCAAGATTTGTGGCAGCATCGACAACATTGAGACTCACAGGCGTCTGAGGAGATCGAGGGCTGCGAAGAGACTTTTATGGTACCGCCTTGCGCAAGTGTAAGGGGTCGCACTGTGTTTCGAGAGGACTGAGCAGAGGGTTCCATGCTGTTAACCTTCATCAACGCTGCTTTGGCTGACGTAGGTGCTGGACCTGAGGTGGTCGATGCCGTTCTTGCATTCTTGGGTTGCCCATCACCAGTAGTAGCCGATCTTCCTCTTATTGTGCCTTGGCCTGCCTGAGTATTCCCAGCGAAAAGTTTCATGGTCCAGGACGCAACGGATGTTGACGACTTACGTGATTGTTTGGTGTCAGAACTTTGGGTTGTTGAAGCACGAGCAAGCGGCTGGAAAAGATCATCATCCAGACCTTTCCTGCGAGCGTTGCTTCCGCTGAGGCCCCGAGCTCGCGTAGTGTCTTCCCCGTCCCCGTTGGAGTCGCTTATGATGCTGCTCGCTCGACTCGTCTTGCGGCTTGTAGCATTTGCGCTCCAGAGATAGTCCTTCCACCCTCGGAGAGTACTGTTTGGCCGACCTGAGTCCATACTCGATACTGTGGATCGCCCATCCGACTCTTTTGAAAACACGCTTCGGGCTTTCAGCGTAGCTTGCCTATCGACCTCGTCCAGCGAGTCTAAATATCCCTCGTCCAACTCAGTATTGGGGCCCAGATGATCCTGCATGGCCTCTCCCATCATTTCATCGATGCCATTCGCGACACCAGGCATCCTATCCTTTCCGCTCATTCGCCCTGACTTCTTCCCATCTGCTCTCGAAGGTGGATCTTGTAGTTTTATTTCATTTTCAGCCCATTTGTCGAGACGATGAAGCCTGGTTTCAATATCCAGATTGGACACCTCCACCTCCCTCAGCATCTTCTTGAGTTCCCTTTCCCGCTCTTCTGCCCGCCGTCTAAGTGTTGTCATTTCAGCATCCCGCGCCGCCAAGTCCTCTGCGAGTTGTCTAACCAACGCGACCGCACCGTTCTTTCTGATAAGATTGCGTACGTGATCATCGCTGGCGTGGTGAAGGGCGCCAGGGAACTCACTGGGAGGGTTTTTAGGTGAGTCTTCGAAAAGCGCCGAGCGGCCTCGAAAAGATGGAGTGCTTGTGACGAGAGACTCAACGATAGATGGGTTCGTCTTGGACGGCCTGCGAGGGATTTTATCTGGGGACTTGGGCTTCGGGCTGGCAACAAGCTGCTTGTCTTGCTTCAAAGCGCTGGGCGAGATTTCTGGGGACAGCGAAGGGAATGACTCAAGTGTTTTGGCTGATGTTGGTGTGACTAGAGATTGATTTCGTGAGCGTACTCTGACAGTGCCGGACCCTCGTGAAGCTGTAGACATCTGGGAGGAGGTCCGCTCCAGGGTCTTGTCATGACTGGAGCCAGCCATATGTATGTATGTGGGTGGATGATAGCATCAACGCACTTTTCAAGAAATCAGAAGAAGGCTGAGAATGCTTGCGACCCAGACCTAGAAGTCATAGTTGTCGGTGACGATGACGAGGGTGCAGACAGGACTTTCGTCATAAGATGGGAAGGATGCCGCACCTTCCCTCCTTGCATCTTCTCCGCACAGCGACAGCATCAGGACGAGGCCTTCAGGAAACGATGCATCTGATTCATATGAATGCTTGTTGAAAGAGAAACCGATATCTGTCACCATAAACTCTTCTGGAGACTGAAGGATTGCGCAGGCGGCAAATTCGCGTTTCGGGGTTGTTCACTGTTGGCAGCTTGGAATGGCCACGCGCAAGCCCTAAAGCCCGATGATGCACCTTATCGCCGTCTTGGCGTGACGGTTTCTGGTCGTACTTCCCACGGCTTTCCTCAGTACTAAATAGGTACAGTAGCACTGAATCGGCTACGACCCCTCTCCCCATGCTCTCCATAACATATTTTCGTGTTTCCGATTGCGTTCGCGGGTCGATGTAAAGAGATACTCTTGCTCGAGTTGTAGAAAGTTGCTTGCCTGCCACAGTGACGGCCTTGTCGCTCTACCTCACACCCTTTCAACTTTGGGTAGAGCTGAGGGGTAAGTCGGGGCTCTCATGCAGGTGCGCGCGCTAGACATCTGAAAAGATTTGCCAAACCAGCCAATGTCTCCTTACCCTAATCTAGCAATGGGTTGGGTCGGGGAACCTCGAGACGAGCCAGAGCTTGAGCGAGAGGAGGCCATGGGACGGCATCTTGCATGCCCACCTCGTATGGTAGATTTGTCAAATCTGCCGGAGTCAAATTCACAAGCCTTAAGCCATGGAACCACTAAGCATCACTGCAAGTCCGGTTGCCATCACTCAATTGACTACTGACTTTATCATTGTACCCTGCTCTCTCTCTGCTACCATGAAACGCTAGAATTTAAGACGAAGCTCACCAAAGATCAATCGAGGGTCAAAAGGTCTCTCGAGTGGCCTTTCGAAAAAGAAGAAATCAAAGAAGTCATCAGGCGGCTGAGAAGTCTCAAGTCCTTGTTGGATACTGCCTTCGCTAGCGATCATTTGATAACTTTTACTCTAGCATTGTCGGTCCACTAGTCTTGTCATCTTGATCCATTGAGAATCAAGTTATAATACACTGATACAAGCCCAGGGTCTTGAGGCTCGACAGTCGCGAAAACATGTTCGACGTTGTCAATTTACTGCACGCGGCTGCAACCAAAAACCTGAATTCACGCCTGGCTAGCTGGTTCTCAGCTCCAAATTCATCTTCATTCCTGAATACTGCGCAGACTAAGCGGCAGCAAGACACTGGAACCTGGCTTTTGGAAAGCCCTATCTTCCTCGGCTGGAAAGGTGCACCCCATTCTTTCCTTAGGCTGCATGGTAAAGCAGGTTGCGGAAAGACTATCCTGGGCTCTACTGTGCTTTGTTCTCTGCTCGATGATAGTAATAGCAACGAAATGGTTGCGTGTTTCTACTTCGACTTCCAGAAAAGCAACTATTTCAAAACTTTCTGAACTCGTTAGTAGTCCAGCTTTTCAGCCAAGATCCTTAAGTGTCCACAATTGTTGAGGAGCTTTACATTACGTGCGATAGTGGAAGCAGTAGGCCAACTATACAAGACACTTGTGATGTGCTTCAACGTATTATCGACGAAAGTGCGGCCTCAGTATACATAGTCGTCGATGCTCTCGACGAGTGCCAAGAAACTTGGAAGGTCTGAGAGACATGCGAAGCTGGAATCAAAAGAACCTTCACTTCTCCGGTACTAGCCGACAAGAGACTGAGATTAAAGACATCTTGTACTCTCTGGCAACGGACATAATTCCGTTGGAAGAAAGCGTCGTTGATGGAGACATCCTTACATACGTTCCGTATCAGCTGCAACATGATTTCAAGCTGTTGGAACGGTCGGAGGAGACCCATAAGGAGATTCAGATTGCTCTGTTGAACGGTGCAAATGGAATGTTTCGATGGGGAGTGTGCCAGCTTGATGCCATTCGAGTTTGCATGAGACTTGGTCTTCTCCGAAAAGCTTCACGGAGCCTTCCTAAGACATTGGATGAGACTTATGCTCGTATAACGACCAAAGTTCCTAAAGAACACGTCGAAGACGCTGGCAGGATACTCTCCTACCTGATACGTGCGTTTGGTCCAGTCACAATTGAAGAAGATGCCGAGACTACGGGCGCCGATGTCAGTGCAGCCAGACATGGGATTGATGCGGCGATTCTATACGGACCAATTCTCCAAGGGAACATTGACCTGATGATCACACTCCTCGACGCAGGCGCAGATCCTAACGGAGATGACAAACCGGAAACCCACTTAATTTTGCACTTCGATGGGGGCAGGCTGCAATGCGCCAAGCTGCTCATCGAACGTGGAGCTGACCTGGAACGCATAGGTTTCTGCCTCATTTCCGCTCTATACAGCCAGCGTGACATGAAAGGCTTTCGGCTTTCTATGGAGTTAGCGCTCAAAGCGAAGCCCAATCTAAACACTGAATTGCTGTCAATTATACCAGCGAACCACGGGCACAGCAACTTCGTCATTCTAGTGCTCTTGACTGGAACTGCGCCAAATGTTCAGGACGAAGACGGCGTTACAGCAATACATGGCGCAGCCTTTACGCCTGCAAACAGCACTCAGATAGTTGAGCTATTGCTTGATGCCAATGCCAATGTACACGGTGGACCTTTTGGGGGTACTCTTCAAGCAGCAGCGTTGTCAGGAAAAGCCAAACCCATCTTGATTTTGCTCAAGCGTGGTGCCTTGCCTGATTATACAGGAGACTCATATGGTACGCCCTTCCAGATCGCACAAAAGAGGCTCAAAGACTTGGAGAGAGTGCTATAAAATAGAAAACGGAATGGTTATCTCAGAGACTGTGGGCCAGATGGCTTTCATGATGGGACCCCTAAGACAGCTTCTGTTGGGAGAGAAAAGAAGCCTGCAAACCGGGTTGGAGATGACTACGTCCCTCATCTCGACTTCTCTCGCTTGCCATACGCAGACTACCAGGCTATCATTGATGTCCTCCAGTCTCGTAATGCTCTTTAGGTGACATCGAAT